TCCAAATCCCCTGTTTCACTTTGCTGAACCAGATCAACATACTTCATTTCTGCTACATCTAAATTTTTTTGAGTCCCTGTGAACTGCTGTGATGTGAAATGGATGCTGCAGCTTAGGTGTCCTATTCAGGTCTTCATTTGCCGCTGTTTTCACTTAATTAAAAGAAGTGACATGTTTCTGGTCACATCAGCCCAACTGAGCACTAAATAGTTGATTTAGATTTTCCCAACGGAAAACCAAAATGTCAGCAATATTTTAGAAACTGTATTTTCAGTTTAAAATAATGATGAAATTAATCCCCACACATTTAGCAGGGCAGTAACCAGAATTTCTTGAAAAGCATAGCACTTATGTGCTCAGATTTCTGTTTGAATGCAAAATTATGGTTTTTCTACATACAAATATGTGCAAAAATTTGCAAATATGACATTCTATGCATAAAAGCAGCAATGTAATATATAGAGAGAACTTAATTCCATGAAAGTCCAATAACTGAATGAGCCTTCCACCAACTTATGGGAAAGCCATAGTGGAATACCAGTAGATGCATTGGCAATGGTGTCCATGCAAAAGAGGGATTTTTAAATTAATGAAGTTAAGAGTATGCAAATGAGCAGAGGTTAATTGGTTGTTTCAATGTTTTATACAAAGAACAACAGAGGAAGGTGTGTGCAACTGGGAAAATAACAAAATAAAGGAAATAAATTGTAGGTGAAGTATTACAACTAAAGAGACATAAAGGCAAAACATAAGAAAAATACTGAAAAACAATTGAAAATATAGCTAAACTATATCCTAATTTTAGAAGCATTAATCACGTTTATTCCTATTTACATGAGTAATGAATCAGAAGTCAATGAACTAGATTAATAGATTCAAAGATTGTTAGGCGCTGGAAGGGACCTTGGAAGATCATCAGGTACAGCCCCTTACACTAGGCAGAAAAGACAACTGGGGATCAGGTGACCCCAGCAAGGTGACTGTCCAGTCTTCTCTTGAAGATTTCTAGGGTAGATGATTGCACCTCTGGGGGAGTTTATTCCATAGTCTAGACACCCTGACTGTGAAGAAGTTTTTCCTAGAGTTAAGCCTGAAGTGGTCTTCCAGGAGTTTGTGGCCATTACTCCTAGTTTTCCCCAAGGGTGCCCTGGTGAACAGTTGTGCACTGAGCTCTTGATGTATTTGATGTCAGCTACTACATGGAGCACTACTGATATTATAAAAAAATGGAAGCAAGTAAATCATGCTGTTGAACTTTCTCTCTCACTGTAAAATTTAGGACATGTCGGAGTAGGAACTGTCATCCTTCATTCAGAGATGTCCTTGGATCTGTGGACCCTTGTTGAAAATAATTTTGCATATGAATTGTTAAAGTTGTTAAAAATAACTGATTTTTCACCTGTGGCCAATGCTATGGCAGGCTGCCTTTCTCAAAAAAGTCTGACATGAAATCTTTATCCAGAGAAAACTGTTCTTCAAAAAAAAAGTTGAAACTGTATTTTTTCATGTATAGTCTGCCGGTTACATTTTTAATATGGATAAAATGCATAGATACTATTCAGATGAGTGCACAGATTATCAGTTAAAAAGAAGATGAGGTTGTTAAATGTTCTAGAGAGTTCATTTCATATTATTTCCTTCTGATAGAAATTTAGCTAATGGTTTATATCATTTTAACACAGGAAGGTTTTCATAATGCAGTTAAGAATGAGCAGAAGTTCTGATGGAGAAGACTTAGTTGAAGCTAATTGTATCTATAATTGCATTCTATGTAAACAAAGTCGGTTAAAGATAACATGCCTATGTGACTACATCTCTTCGCAACTTATGTCAAACCATTGCCAAGTGCCAAGGTAGGTGCAAAATAAGGAAGGTTTTTCCAGCAGGATGCCATACCTGCAAACTTCTGACTTAGCATCAATGGGCAAATGGCTGGTAACAAATAGTCTTATATCAGCAGCATATCCACAGAGGTGATCATATGTCCTTTAAGACCATTTCACAAGAACAGTAGATAGAGACTTTTTAAACTTCGTGAATCACATAAGGATTCCACACTGCCCCCTTCTTTGCCCTGCTCAGTGGCACCACTGCTCCCACTCCTCTCTCCCCTACCTGCTGCTTCCATTGTCCCAGATTCTAGAGCTACTCCTGCCCTGCTCTAACTGGGCTGTGCAGGGGCCAAGTTCAGTTGGGGATAGTGGCAGCAGCAGCGCTGGGCAGGTTTCTCCTTCTTGCCTGATCCTTCTAGGTGTTCCCTGCCATCCCAGAAGCAGATGCAGGGGTGAGGAAATAAGTCAGCTACCACTGTTCCTGTCCCTAAACCCAGCTGCCCATGGACCCTGGCTAGCACAGGGCAGGAGCCTCTTTAGAGTTCCTCCCACCCCTATGATAAACACATTATGTAAGCCTGGTTTAAATAGTAAAGGCTTTTAAGAGAAAGTAATAGTAAGACAAGAACTCTTGTTCCTCTCTTTCTTTCTCTGCAAGCACATCATCATTATAATGATGACAATGATGACAACTACTCACAATGCCTAGCACTTTCAGTCAAGGATCCCCAAAAAGTGATTACAAAGCCTGGACAAGTATTATTTCTCCCATGTAAAAGAAAATGTGATACAGAGAATTGTTTGTTATACAAGGTCAGGGAATGAGTCAGTGACAGAGCTATTCATAAAAAGGAAGTCACAGCAACTGAAAACAGAAAAAAAAAGAGTGGCAGAAAGGGAGAGCAGAGAGCCTCTAATGATGTGTATGGCAAAGTTAACAGCTTGGCTTCAACCTAGGAAATATTATGAATGCCATAATCACTACTTACAAAAGAAGAACCCCTTCCATCATATATTCCCCTCTGGGAATACGTAGCAAAGGTCTCTTCCCCTCTTTGGATATGTCTCTCTACCTTTTCTTCCTCCTTTTTTTCTTTTCCCTTTCCCTTTTTCACTATAAAATATAGAATTATTTGGGTATACGGAATTGTGTTTTACATTTTGTATGCGTGCATTTTGTATTCATGGCATTTGCACCTCTTGTATTTTATATTTTATACTCTTTACCTTATAACTGAATGTGTTCTCTTTTAGAAGTAAGTTATACACTGTAACAATGTTAGCAACGGTGGGAATTGAACTGCCACGTCCCTGTATCAGGCTGGCCCCTGAATGAGTGAGTGATTTAATGTGTAACATGGTAGCTAGCTTCAATAACAAGTTAACGAGTGGCAATTAACACCTATGGAAACCACGGACTAATGAGAGGAAGAAATCAATAGGAGCCAATGTAGCAGCCGGGAACTCCCTGAAACTTCACTGTTAAAGGTATAGAAGCCCCGGTTTGAACTAATCAATGCTGGAGAACAACTCTTGGGGCTGAAATACCCCTGATCAACCACTCCCAGAGCCCTATTTATCATGGCAATGAATTAATCAAAATTCATCAATGGACTCCCAAGACTGCACATATGCACAAGCATGACCCCTGGGGCTGACAGCTGTCATACAGCAGCCACCAAGGGGGATGTCCCATGAAGTCAACAGCCCCTGGATTGGGTAAGCCTGAGAACTGGAGAGTCACCAAAGTCTGCCAGAGAGGTATAAAAGGCAGTGAAGAATGACCCCCCAACAGTGCCCTATTTGACCTGACCAGCACTCTGCCTGTCCAGCCAGAAGGACCAGCTGGTGACCCCCTTCAGAAGCAACATCGCACTGAAAGAAGCCTCGACTGGCCATTGACGGCAGACTCCAGGGCTTGGGGATAGGTATATCTTGACACTGGTGCTTAGTATTCATAGCTAACTACTGTGAGTGTGTGCGCATGAGTATGTGTGTGTTTGAGGGGATCAGCCCCCAGGTTTATGATTTGACTTTTGCATCTGTCTAATAAACTAGAATTTTATGATGATCCTGCGAGTTGCTCCTTTGTAGTGAACAGTATTTGGTGGAGAATGAGGGGAAAATTCTAGGATTATTAATGGATTGTGTTGGTTGGCAAGTGGGGAGGCTGTGTCTCCAGATAGAACCCACATCCAAGGAGGAGTGGGTGAGCATTCAGCTATAGTCACCCAAAGGGGTGGGCATTGGTTACACAACCAATCTGCAGGACAGAGGAGGGTTAGAAATATATAGCACTCACCCAAGTGGCTGGGCATACCCGAGGAGGGTCAGGAACATACAAAACTCACCCAAGGGGATGGGCATATCCCAGCGAAGGGATTTGGTTGAAGAACTCCTGCGGAGCAGGGGCAGAGTCAGTTGGAAGTGTGAAGGCTCAAGGAAACTACTGCCTACCGGGAGCAAAGATTCAGGACGTGAAGGGGTGATCCAGGCCATGATCCAGCCCACCAATTACTACCCCATGGTCCTAATCCATGTGAGTACTAATGATGCAGCCAGGAGAAGCCCTGATCACCTGATGGCAGACTACCACGCTCTGGGAGGCGTGCTGAAGGAGATAGGCACACAGGTGTTTTTCTATCCTACCAGTGAGCAGATGTGGAAGACAGCACGTGATGTGCATTGCGGAGACCAACTGGCGACTTCGGGAATGGTGTCTCGAGGTGGGCTTTGGCTTCCTCAACAATGACCCACACATCACAACAAGAGACTTGCTTAGATGGGATGGGCTCCACCTTTCCCCCAGAGGTAAGCGTGTGTTTTCTTCTAGGTTGGCGGATCTCCTCCTGTGGGCTTTAAACTAGGCTCACTGGGGGAAGGGGAAGATGAGGGCAGAGGAAGCCTTGGACGGCCAAACCAAGCAACACCCACAAGTACAGCCCAGCCTAGACCGATGAGTGGAACATATACACAGGTAAGCAACAGGGACCAGGGTAATGCTGAAAGTAGGGGGCCAGGGCACACATCCATAGGAGGCCTCAAATGCCTCTACACAAATGCTCGTAATATGGGAAACAAGCAGGAGGAACTTACCATCCTGCTAGCTGACACCCAGATGAAAATGAACAATTAAGAAAGATAAATCAAGACAATGCCCAACAATTGAAAAAGGAGCTCCAGGAGCACAGGCTGCAAGTAGCAGCTGTCATCCGGGGACACCAAGCCTGGGATCCAGACATCCCCTTCAATCCAGGAGAGATCTGGGGTGGAATGAATGAGCACAGACTACAGCACCATCAGCATACTGGAGCTGGATGATTGGGGTCAGGGTAGCATTGGTTTTGGCTCAGAGTTGACTGAGGTTAAACAATTTACCATCTATTTGGTAGTTTAATGATAGTTCACATCACTGTTAGCAGGCATGCCTTCCTACATGGGACATCTATGTGATAGTGCTAGTGAAATTGGACTCTACCCATAGGCCTTCTGCTCCTAGAGAACAACAGTCCCATTATGGGACCAGGTTCTGTGGTTGAATGAATGATTCAAAGAAAAAATATATGTCCTCTAGGGACTCTAAAGACTTCAAGAATGGCAAAAAGTAGTTACTCAACTTTCTGCTCCCCTCCCCCCCAATATTAATTAATTTCCAAAATATTTTATTCCTATCCACATACATCTCCTAACTATAATTCTGTTCTTTAGAATAATTCCAATCTCTAGAAATGAACCTGGTAAATTGGTTAGAATGATGACCAAATAAAGCTACACTGTACTTAGAAGATCATGTTATAATAGGATATTATAGGAAGAGTATGCAAAAGTAGAAGAGTGCCTCAGTAGCCTATTATCATTCTTTTAAAATGTCAATAAAATGTATTGAGGAAACAGCGAACTATTTAACAATGTATTTAGACTTTCAAATGGCCTTTGATAAAGTACTTCATGAAAGACTGCTAAAAAAATTAAGTAGTGATAAAGTGAAAGGCAATTTATTATCATGGATTAAGTACTAGCTGAGACAGAAAACAGAAGAAAAAATGATCAATTTTCATCATGATCATTCAGTTATCACAAGATTTTGCACAAGGACTGGCATAGTTAATTATATGGAGCAGTGAGCTGGAAATGGCTGAGTGGCAAGATGGCAAAAGCTGTAGGTGATATAACATTATTTAAGTCAGCTAACACCAGAAAAACTGTGAGCAAAACCAGAGGAATCTAATTAGATTAAGTGAATAGCAGCAGGAAGGCAGATGAAATTCAGTGCTGGTAAATTAAAAGAACTGCTTAGCAGAGGAAACAAAATGAGCTACCATAGCATAAGGTTCTAAAATTAACCATTTCAACTCAGAACAAAGAGGTATACATCATTAGGTATGGCAGACATTACACTTAGACCTAGCTACGGTTAGGTCAATTTAAGTGCCGATCTGTACAGACACTTAGGAGGGAAGGTTAGATAGGGCAAGAAATGGCCAGCATGATATAAATTAGTTCACCTGAGGAGGTGAAATAAGTTTGATCAGGAACAGGTTAGCCCAAGCTACCAAGCATCTGCCTATATCTGGAGTATAGTTGCAGGGTTCAGAAAGTCCAACCACTCATCTCAGGCTCAGGGCTATGTTCCTCCACCTTGACCAGGCTATTTTCAGCCCCTCAACCCCCTGACCTCTGGACAGACCTCCCCCTGCCCACAAGGACCCACCAAAACCATGTTATGCAGACCTGTCAGCCCCTCTCCCAATCCTGCCAACCCTCCACTTCAGACCCACCAAAACATCAGATTCACTAGCCCTCTCTGATCCTCCCCTTCCCTCCCCACCATCCTCAAATTAGATCAGGTTCCTAGTGCAGCTTCAAATAGCAGTAAATGTGTACACACATTGCTCTCATAGATTCATAGATTCATAGATTAAGGGTCGGAAGGGACCTAGTAGATCTTCTAGCCCGACCCCCCGCCAGGGCGGGAGAACAACAAAAAACCCCAAAAAGAGAAATGGGACTCAAACGAGTCCAGCCAGGTAGGCATCCAGCCTCTTCTTAAAGACCCCCAGGGTAGG